AATATTTTCTCAGTAGCTTGAATTTACATGCCCAAACAGACCTGGAGATAGGTCCAAGTTACTCAACTAAAATGTCAATACACTGTAATTTGAAATATTGTAATCTTATTGTCTCTGTATGATTGACTGACATTTCTTTATCTGTTCTGTATGTGATGACCTCAGAACCTTATTGTAATGTCTGCATTCTGTCATCAATTGCCCTGTACCTGTGTACCTATAAATGCCCTGTAATGGTATTGAAGCTTTGCAGCAGAGTTCACCTCTGCCTGCCCGGTAATGCATGCATTATTGTGAGTACCGCGGGAACCTTGGGTTAATACAATAAAGCCTCAGATGGTCTGGACGCTTGATCTTTCCCACAAACCCGAGTTTTATTTCCTCTTCTCAAATTGAGATTCCAGGATTCTGACAATTTGGCGACGAAGGTGGGATCGTGGGTTTTTGGCCATTTATCCTGGGTGGGAGAGATGGTAAGTTTGGCCAAAATTCTCTCCACTGGGGGAGCACAGAAACTGGCCACCTCTTCCGTTTCACAGGTGGGTCAATGTAATTAGATCTGGTTTTGAACCTCATTGCAAGTTGGTTTTGATTGTGGACACCCAGGAAGCATGGAGGTTTCAGAATCTCGGCCTACTACCCCATGGACACCTCTGCATCAAACTGCAGGGTGGTGTGGATGGCCATGGGCAGCACCTGCAGGGTTGTTGTGGAAGCAAGTGCTTGGTATTTTGATTTAAAACAGCATGGTCAAACCTAACTAATTTGGCCTCAGAGGGCTCATTTGATTAGAATTGGCTACACCTTTTGCAAAAGTATCTGGTGGAAATACATCCTAAGGAGATGGAATCAGGGTTGTTTGGTTCAAGCTGGAGGAGAAAAAAAAAGCTAACCAATATGGTATTGGTGCACCAGGAAAGATCTACACGTGTGAGTATATGTTTGCACTGGGGTTTGTGTAGAGTTTTATGTTCACTGTTTGTGAAAGTCTTGTGTTCATTGTTGCTGTCTGTTTTCTGTGTTTGTATTTTAAAGTGTTCCCCTTTCTGGGAGGTAAGCGTATCCCAGAGTGGGTTTTGGGGGTTCCTCGGGAAATAGAAGCTCCCCACGCAGCCGCACCAATCTGTCCTCTTCAGGGCATGGTTGAAAGCAAGGGTGTGGATGGGTGTTCTTGCCCCTGAGATGAGAATGTGTGAACCTGGCTTTGATTGAGAAAGATTCATGAGGTCATTTGCCTGAGCCCAAACATGGCTGAGTCCGACTGGGAAAAAGGTGATGATCAGGGAAATGTGTGTGTGAGATTTTTTCCTTCCCCCATTCCTTCTATATGAGCTAGAACTGGGAAGTAAGGAAATGTGTGGCCCTGGAATTGGGCTTGCAAACACAGGTCCTACCCAGTTTTCTGGACATTCTCAATAAGCTTATCCTGTTTGAAAGCCATGTATGAAAGAGGGGTTATATAGAAACATTTTTATGCAGGTCCTTTCCTTGTCAGAAACCCGGGAACACTGTTTTAATGTCTTTAATGCAAGTTTTTCTGCCTCTTCCATCTGCCTTACAGCCCTTCTAGGTAGGGAGATTTTCTTGTTAGATTAAATAATTGTATTTGAAATTCCAGGAGGGGATGCTGATGGGCAGATGAAAGATGAAAAAAAAAGCTTTCTTTGCAAGTTCCTGGGAAGGATTTTACGGTTCTGGGATAGCTTTTGGGTTGTACTTTGGAGTATGTTTGTGAAGGAAGGCATGGTAAGAAAGGAAGAGGATTTGTTCAGGAAGAAACACATGCAAAAGGAAAGCACTGTGGTGTGGTTGTAATTTCATGGGCTGGATTGGAATGTTGTAGATGTTGTAAGTAGAAAGTAAAGGCAAGTGAGCAGATGGATTGTGGAAATGAAAGAAAAGGAAGGAAAAGTGAAGCAAAGATGCAGAAAGGAAGGGTTTTCTTTTATGTGTTGAGGAGGTTTTTGGAAAAATAGAGGAAATTGGCTGGTTTTCTCCCCCTGTTGAACTTGCAACTGTTTGGAATGTGAGGTTTGAAAAAGGCAAAAAGATTTTTTTTGGATGTTGTGTGTATGCCATGTGAGAATGAGAGTATGCATTTGACAGGAATTCCTTGATTCAAGGGGTGCATGGTGCTTGGTGTGAGAGAGAATTTTAAGAGTTTTTGGTAAATGGTGATTTGGTACTTTTTCTACTGGGAAAAAAAATGAACGAAATGTGTAACTTTTGGAGTAAAGACAAGAAAAACAAATGAAAAAAAGGAATAGTCTACCTTGCTAAGAGCACTCCCATTATTTAAAGAGACAGTAACTGCAGCCTCTTCTCTGGGTTTGGTCTGGCCAACTGAATTCAGGGGGATTTGTGCTGGAGAATTACGGATTTCTTGACTCTGTGGGCTTGGCTGTTCCACAGAGCCAACAAAAGGGGAGATGCTCTGGCAGGAAGGTACCACTTTGTGAGTACTGCAGAAGCAGCACATACAAAGCCTCTGAGCATGTGCAGAGTTCAAAGTACTTTGGGAAGCGGCTCTGCTTCCAGCCACAGATTGGAGGTGGACTTGCACTAGTTCTCAAAAGAAAGTCTTTGAGTCTCTAGAAAACTCTCGAAAGAAATCTTGGTGTCTTAGGGGAAAAAAAAAGTTGTGTAACTGAGGCAAGGCATTTCAGGTTCTTTGAGTGTTCAAAGCTTGTATTGCCTCAGGAAAAATTCTGCCTGGGAAGGTTTGGGTTAAAACAAATATCCTTAAGCACTCTCAGTGAGGAGCTAGGGGATTTTTTTAAAGGAAGGGAATCCTTCCAAATAAATAAATAAATAAATAAAAATGTGGTGAGCAATGATTTGTGTCAGCTATCAAGTGTTTCCCCTCTCCAATCATTTTCCTATGCAACATGGATCTGGGTCTTAAAAAAGGGTTCTGAATTCTGAATATACCATCTTGTTATTGCTATGTTACAACTGAATGATTGGGAGGGAATGGATGGAACTCTGGGGCTGTGTATGTGTGTATGTGCACGGGCATGCAGTGGGAAGGATTTCTTTTCAAATCTATGAGGCTACTTCTCCCTTTGGAGTTCAATAAAATTTTGTTTCCTTTTTTTTTCCTTTTGCAATGTTGCCAAATATTAATGATAATGATAGTGGCATTGTTGTTACTGTTGTTACTGTTATTGATGGTGCTAAAAGAAAATTTTTCTCACAGTAGCCTAATGTTTGTTGGGGACTGAGCCCATTTGCCAGCCCAAGGAAGAGGGCAGCTAAAATGGCAAGTTCTCAACTTCTTTCCATGAACATAAGCACTCGTATGTTCATCTAAATGTTTGTTTGTGTTAACAATGGGTTTGTGCATTTTGTATCTATGTGGGAGAGTACCATCTCTGTAATAAGAAATTGTGTAAAACTGTTCTCATTGTCCACCAAAGTCCAGCAGAAAGCACATTTCTCTTTAGCTTAGGCAAGCAACAGGTTTGTGCAACACCAGGTCAACAAAGGATTTCTTTTGTGTGCATTCTGGCATTGGCTGGATTGATTTCAGCAACCCAAACATTTTCTTCTTGAGACTGTGCTAAAGAGACTCAGAAAGGACATAGACTTTACATCTTGAGGTTTCTCTCCAAACTCATGTGGATCTCTCTGCCACTGCCTACAACCAGCTTCTGTGAAGAAATGTAAAAGCATTTATTCCTCTTAATTAAACTTTTTTTTTTGTTTGAGCTGCACCTTTCCAGGAACTAAACAGCCACGCTGGCACCCCAGAAAAGAAAAGAAAAAAGACTCCTTTTCTCTACAGGCCTGGAAGGAAAAGCCTTTCATGTCCCATGCTATGCCCAGGCTCCAGGAATTGCAGTGACTGTGTTGTGAATCCATTCCTGTGTTCTGCCTTGCTCCATTGCATCATTCACAAGGAAACAAAGATCTAACCAGGCAAACCAGGAGATGCAAGTTCTACAGCTAAGAAGCTTGAGTGAAGCCTAGACAACGGAATCTCGAAGAATTGCCTAAAAGGGCAAGACAAATGACTGAACTGGACATCAGGTCATTGCCTCATCTCACACTGCTCCCACCTTGCAAAGAAGTTTGCTGACCAGAAGAGATGGTGGCCTAAGACAGGATATTCATCACATTGAGAGCCTCAGCCCAGAGGAGGATGAAATTCTTAAGGCTGCAATGGGTCAGAGGAGGCCTTGGGAGCAAGGGACCAGGCCTCAAAATTGAGTGGCAAAACTGGAAAGAGGTGGGGGAGCAGGTGAGGGTGAGAGCTGGCTGGCACTGAGTTCTTTGCAGCCAAAGGGGAGCCATCAGCTGCTTCCATAGGATAAGAAACCCCTTTAGAAGCACCACCAGCCATTTCTCTTCAGCAACATTTTTCAGCAAGAAGGGAAAATTATTGAGTTTCCCTTCTTGCTCTTGCAGCTAAAAATATAAGTGCTAGAGAGGCTTTGAAGGGGACACTGCCCTGAATTATGCTTGGTATTTCTTTTAGTATTATGCTTCGATAAACTAGATGTATGGTTTTATTTGCCAATTTGATGTTTTACCTTGTAAATTTGTAATAACCTATGACTAAATACTATAAACGTACTATTTTTTACTGTTCCTAGCAGCTGCCTCAATCACCTTTTTTATTTCTTTATGGGACGTCTTCCAGCTTTAGTCCACATCCTTGATCAGGGACAGACTTCCTCTCTTCACCAGACTTGGGCCTGGCTTAGACCCCAAAAGGCACAGAAACGTTGCTCATGCTCAGGAGCCTTGCACACAGGGAAGGGCACAATACCGATACCAGGCTTAAGCAGGCTTCCACGACAGCTCTTGCTGTTACTAGATCTAACATCTTGCTCACCGATTTTGCAGGGACACAATTGGCCAGTTCGCTTTTCCCGAGGCAACCCGTTTAATAGAGGTGTTTTGCTCTCAAAGAACTGTCGCTCTTGCTGACGCTCCTCCCTCTTCCTCTTTTACTCTTCTGCACCCTGACCTTGCTTCAGATTCCAATTGTCCCCTACAATTTCTTTTCCTGAATGACTGGCTTGATGCAAAAGAAATATTAAAACTCATGTCTTCATCCATTAATTTCGTCCAAGGCACGCCTAAATCATTCCCCCCGAAGTCTGACAAGGGTAAGAATCCTGTTTAAGAATAGGAAATCGGATCTTAACGCGCTTTACTTTTTAGTTTTGTTTCTAATCAAAACAGAGCGCGAGAGTAAAGCCTTATATTTTTTCAGCCAAACGTCCTGCTTTCCAGGGATAGATCCACATTCTTTATGTTTCTATTACCCTACAACCTGCATTTCTCCACCTAGCTGTTACTCTCAAGTTTCGTCTGAGTTTGTACCGTGTATAATGCATGTTCCAACCCCACATCCACTTGGGAGGTGCAAGAAATTCCCTGTTGGCATTGCATTAACACGATTTCACCACAACCCAGGAGACAACATGTACAGTTCCGCTTATTGCCTGCATTTGATTCCTCTTGACCATTTTTCCATCATGCTAAACAACTTTCAGGCTCGGTTCAGAAGCTAATTTCTTTTCCTATGAGTCTCACAGACTGAACCATGCTAAAAAGAGATGATTAAATCAGAAAAAGGCCTTTAAAACAGCATTGTAATCCTTGATTTTGTTCCTATTCCGATCATTCCTCCCTTTAGGTCAGTCAACCAGTAATATTTGCATAAGTCTCTGAAATGGCATTCCATAAGGCAACTAGATCTTGGATTAAGCAGCTGGATCCATTTGAAAACTGGAACCATCTACAAAACGTTACAGAACACGAAGGTTTCAAACTTCTATGCCTGGTTCAAAAGAAGAGAAAGATTCTGCCATGGCAGACCTGTTCTTTCAAAAAGACCTCAATCAAACTGGAGGATGTACTCTTATCAAAAGATGACATTACACAGCTAGGTAATGCTTAAGATGCAGTATTCCTCTGCAGGAGTGGAAAAAATGCAGACATGAAACTGGGCACAGAATTAACCTTTCTGGGTGGTTTCGGATGAAGCTTGTAATCAAGCAATTGTCCTTCAGATCACCCCCAGAATTTTATGGGACTTGCAGACATATCCACTTATAGCTCTCCTATGTTTTTTCAGCAATCCTTCCATCATTTTCATCCATTAAGGAGACACACAGTACCTTCTAAGGCAGGGGTCTCAAACTCAACTTACCTGGGAGCCGCTGGAAGTAGAGTCTGGGTGAGGCTGGGCCGCATCAAGTATTCCACCACCACGGTGGTGGTGGGCCACTCATCCCGCGTCGCTCCTGGAGGCCGGCCCAGGTGCCGCCGGCACTTCGAAGGCCGCAGGGCCCCTCCCCCGTCCATCCCGGCAATTGACCCGCGGGCCGCGAGTTTGAGACCCCTGCTCTAAGGGATAGCAGGCAAACCTCTCTGTCTGATGATTCTGAAGTAGGAATTCTTATGTAGCCAAAACACTTGCAGCCAAGAACTAGAAGTCTCAGGAGGCTTGTGGGAACCCCAGAGCGTGCAAGAGTACAAAGCATCTTCCGAAAAGAACCTCGGGGTACCCAACAACACCCCAGTGAGGAGCATGTGCTGTGACCATGCGATGTTGACTGATTCTTGTGGAGGAGGTGTCAGGTGGGGCAGGGGGTTTGGCTAACTGATGGGAACATGGAACTCCCCACCGCAACATTTAATTGTAGGTCTTCCACTGCCTTTGAATAGGTATCCTCTTCCTCTAATGGCTCTTTTTTCCCTAGCACTCCCTTCTTCATTTTTCCCTACAGATATCTATGACTCAGGCCCATACACCACTGTGGACAAGGAATCTTGGAAAGGGAAGGCTGATGGTGGTGGTGGTGCTGCGATTCCACCGGCAAACATGATGGGCTCTGCCAGTGAGTCCCATGAATCGTGTGTGACACTGAAAAAGAGACACATCCCTGTATACAAATTAGTTTCTCTAGAAGGGTAAGGCTGAAAGAAGGCTAAGTGCACTCATTCATGTTTTACTTTCAAGGGCAAATGGAGATAATTTCCAATCCAGACAACAGGAATTCTCTAGCAACCCTCAGACTTTTTGTGTAAAGCAGAACCGCACTGAGAAACATTGCGATCAAATGTGCCACATATGAAATATGGCACAAATCACACATATGACATTAAAAAACAAACAACCCTCTGATGAAGTTTTATTTGGGTTCTTTTAAATATACATTAAAGCGATCAGGGGCAACTTTGGGTTGGATCTAGACAGCTTTTGGAAGTTAAGCCTCATTTAAAACAATGTGGAAAAAGCAAAGCATTGTTTAAGACAGCTTCTCCCAGCATGATATCCTCCAGATGTTTAGAACTACGCTCCCCAGAAATGTGGTTCACTGGCTGTAGTAGCTGGAGCTGACAGGTATTTCATTTGGAGGGCACTGCATCTATGCTATAGAATAGAAAAATGTTTGAGTTGGGGAGACAGCATGGTAAAAAGAAGGGGTTCTAGCCTTCCTCATGCCAAAATGCAGACTGGCAGGTATTTAGCTTTCTGAAGGATTGCAAAGACACTGACCCTATTCTTGAACTCAAGAATTGGCAGGACCAGCTGGCAGCAAGCAAGCGAGCAAGCAAGCAAGCATACTGCCCCCTGCACACTCATCACTGTTGCTTCCACTAAGAACCCAAGAATGACCCATCGGAGGGTTGTTACTGTGATGCACAAGGCCGGGACGCTGGGTCCCTGCACTGCTGATGGAAACCAGTACGTGGGAGGCAGAGTGCTTGCCTGCTGCTGCCCCGCCTTGACTGCTCTGAGCTTAAAAACACAATAATTGTTCTTACTGGCTTTCTTCAGTCCTTACACTTGGGGATCAGTTTCACACTCAACTGGGATCCACGCCATAGCTTTAGCTACCATGAAGAGAGATTTTATGCAGTCTGCTCTATAGTCATAGTGTAGATCCCTACTTTCTATTTTAGGACCATCAACATGGACCACATGTTCATTAAACAAGCCAAGAAGTCTCCAAATGACCTGTACGTGATCACAGAGGTAATAGAGACGATGGAAGACATACGTTGTGAGGAATCTATCAAAGCAGAAGGACAATTCTCTTTAGCAGCTGACATCATCCCCAAACTGAATTTGCAAATGGGAATGCAGGTTAGCTTTGAGTTTGGACTGACCACTAAATAGGAGCACAGAGAAATATGTCTTTCCTTACTGTTACATTTTCATGGTGCTCATGAAAGCTCTTGTTTTCTATTGTAGGGCAACATAAACAGTCTGAAAGGAATTACCATCCCAAAAGCTGCTACTGTGGCATTCAAAGGCTATCATCTACTTCTAGGAGCACTTCGTTCTAGTAAGAAAGCAAATACTTGCTTATGTCAAACTTGTGGCTCATGAATCTATAAGCGAATAAAAAGGCTATGCTATTTTTTACAGGCAGATAAAATTCCTGGCTGAAATTAGTTTTGCAAGACTGCCAATGAGGAACATTTCTATCAGGTTCAAGTCTACTTGGAGATCTCCTTCCTTCCTTTTGCCTTTGAGCCTTTGAGGGCACATCTTATCTCCTATGGCCCCTTTATTTAGCTATTATATTTCATCCCTTCATTTCTCCAACAGATCAAGGTGGTTTCTATGATCTCTTCCATGCCTCACAAATCCATCCTAAGAAGCCCCTGTGGCCTGGGAGAAGACTAAGAAACACTGACTAGCCTAGTCTTCCAGGGAGCATCCTATCTGACAGATCTGAATCAAGGTCTCCCAAATCCTAGTCCAAAGCAGTCTAACCACTACACCACACTGCCTGTCAGATAAGCTCATGTATAATACAATCTTCAGACAAGGCCATACCACACATGTTCTCCCTTGCAGAGTTTGGCAATTGTAAGATTCAGGCTTGGGGCTTCTCTGCAGTAGCAGCAGTTTCTAGAACTCCCCACAACCACAGGGAAGACCACCTGCCTGGTTCCCTTCCAATTCTAGAAGCCTGCAAAGGCCTCCCTCTTTGGGAGCTGTTTTAGAGGTGAGCCAAGCAACCTTTAAATAGATACCAAGTGCTTCACAGGAAGGTCCCGTGAAAGGGAGGCTGCAGAACCTTTGGGTGACTTTGGGCCAGTCACAGACTCTCAGCCCAACCTACCTCACAGGGTTGTTGTTGTGGGAATAAGATGGAGGAGGAGATGTAAGCTGCCTTGAGCCCTTTGTAGGAAAAAGGCAGGATATAAATCGAAAAATAAATAAAAATAAATAAATAAACCTCCTCCAGCCTAAGGACCAAATTCCACTCAGGAGAAACTCCAGGGGTTGTATTCTAGGTGTGTGTGGGTCAAGGACAAATGGCTAGGCCTGAATACAGAGAGACACCCTCATATGGTAGCTCAGGCCTCTGACTGCCAGTAACTAAGCCTTGGGAGAGGCTTGTCAACCCTTTTGAGGGACAAAAAACTGCACAAACGCTGGAGAAACACCAAATGATGTCTGGTTGGGGAAAAGGGGGGTGGCCTTCTTGGGGACCCCAAAGGGTTAAATTGGGACCCTGGGCCTGAGGTTCTGCACCTGTCTTACATAGGTGTGCTACTGTTTGATAGTCATTAGGAGAGCAAGATGCTAAGAGGTAGTTACGCATTTTTTAAAGTGTCTCCAAGAAGGTTATTCATTATTGCTCCAATAACAGTTTGGATGAGAAATGATCCTTAAAATAATTTGACATTTCATTCAGTGCCATCAAAGAAGAATGTCTTTTATTGAGAAAGCAAATTGGCAGATAGGGCAAATTGCTGATTATGACATTACACTTTGTGATTAACTTTCACCTACACACCCCTATAATTTTTTTCCATTTCAGAAGCACGATCAAAAATAGCTTCTGTACACAGAGGTAAGGATTGCCTTTTATATTCATACCCAATGTATCTTTCATCACACTGGTTATAACTTGGAGCGGTGCAATATATAAATAGATATATACAAATGAGTAAACATGTACCCCCCACAAATGTTCTTCGACTGTACCTTCCATCAACCCCAGTCAGCAGAGCAATGGTGAGAGTTGATGGGAGTTGTAGTCCAACTAAATCTGTGAGGCTCTAATTTCCACACTGCTGGAGAGAGAAAAGAGCTGAAGGCAATATCAGTGCCTAAGGATGTTTTCATCAATTAATAATGAAATTTAGTTGAGAAATGTGTTGATTATTTTTGTTTATGAGAAAAACTAATATTTCTAAAGTGAGCTTTAAAAATTAGTCTGGTTCCCCATTTGAACGAGGGGCATTTATATAGATTGAAATATTTTTTAAACTATCTAAGCAATGCATTGACCACACATAGCAGCAAAGTAATTTGTTACCAAACCCTGACTTGTACTCTTCCTTCTTTGTGCTGCCTGCGTCCCTAGAAAACAAGACTGAAGACCTTCAGATAGAAATGAAAGAGGAAGGAGGAGAACTCTTTTACTTACGTTCAGATCTGTGCAGCAGGTTTCTCACTGCCTTCGTGTCTATAATGAAGGAGAATGATCTCTTGCAAGAACTGGAATTCCAGGTGAGCATCTTCCTTTCGGGATGCAGCGTGTCACTGCTTTTGGGCCTTCCGGCCCAAAAACTTTTCTTCCAGCAATATGTGGAGACTTAACAGCCCTTCTTTAAGATGTCAGCCACCAGTCTGACTTCATGGGCCTCTTCCAATGCTATGCATCTTCAGTAGGGTGGGGCATGGGGCATGTCTGCTGCAGCTACCTGTCATCAGAATGAAGATTCCTTTATTCATTGCACAACCCAGTCTGTCCCTGAAGCCTCAGTCTGAGCACTGCAATGCTCCCAACCAGCAACAGCAGCCCTCCATCAGGGCTCCTCTGAGACAGGCCTGGGTTGTGGGGCTTGTGTGTGTATCCATGCCATGAAATCAGAAAGAAAACCATTTCTCCTATACTTCCTAGACTTTAGGGAAAGGAAGACTTATCACATCTAAATAAAATGGACAATTGATCCACGTTCCTGATGTTTATTCCTAATACACATGTACTCAGAAAAAAATTGACAAGCATTGGCACTGACATATTTCCCTCTATCCTCAATTCTTAGCTAGAGCAGGCTCTTGAAGGCACCAACCAATTGAAGATGAAGACCGACAAACCAGAGTTGCAAGATCTGCTGTACTTTTTACACGATTCCGAAGGGATTGTCTATATTAACCTTGCTGATTCCATCCTCTACTTTCTTCAGGCTCTAGTTGGTAAGGATCATGTGTTATGGTTCTAATGAAACCTGAGGAACCCCATAAGTAATACTAAAAACCAAACAAGCTGCAAGGCAGCTAACTACACAATTTAAGTCATGCCCTGCTTCATGCTTGGATTAACAAAGCAGACAACCCAGACTGCCAGCGGTGTTGAAACACATCGGAGTCATTAATCTATTCCTCTCTACAACTATGATCAGATTACAGTGTAAACTTTAGGTGCATTTAAGGACTCCTAGATTCCACAGCTGAGGAAGAATAGTCCTGGCCATGAAGAAAACCAGCTTTCCAAGTGATGTCTCCTTTCTGACATTCATGTACAACTTCAGCTCAATTGTATCTGAAAACCATTGCCTGTGTCCTCAGTGCTGTGTCTGCAGCAAGAAACCAAGTGAATTAAGCTTGAAGTCCAGTCCTCATGAAGCATAGGATTGCTTTTTTAACAATGTTCACCAACCACTCCCTCTAGCTACAACTGGGCTTTGTTTCCAGCTCTGCTTCTGCCATCCACCCCTTAAAATGTGTTCTTTCCTCAAACCACTGCCTGCTCTCTCACTCTCCCAGAACTGACAGAGCTCCAGCTGCTACTCCTGGCAGAATCCGTGGAGAAGAAGATTGTCTCCACCCAGCTTGCACTGGTAAGGAGTGATTCACCTCACACAAGAAAGAGGCAGATTAATACATACTTGCTGAATACAAGAGAAAGTCACAAGTGCAATGTTTTAGCAGAGGCGCAGGGTAAACTCTTAGCTTATGCATCTTCCTGGAACTTCAAGGAGTCACTTGCTTGTGCAGAAACCTCCCAGCAGTAATCTTTATGGTAACCAGCCAAGCTGATTGATAACACATTTTAATGCTGAAGTCCCGTTTCACACTTTTGGAGAAATGTGTCCTGCTGAAGTCAAAGGGACATGCTTTGTAGTAAGAGACAGCAATGAATCAGCCTGCGTAGCTCACACCCAGCCAAGATAACATGAATATAGTGTCACAACACATGTTGCATCTTTCCTATTTTATTTGAATTACTTTCATCTTATTTCCTTGTTTATTTATATTTTGAATATTCCTAGACTGCCTTCTGGGCAGGAATCCTCCCAAGATGACTTATAACAATGCAGTCCTAGGTTATTAAAAAAACCACTATCAGCAAAAAGCAGCAAAAGTTCTGAAAAGCAACAAACAAAAGAAAAAAAATCTGACCTAGACAGTACTACATTTAGCATACATACTTTGGTTTTGAGAATTACAGACCAGGAAATTCTGATTGGTTTCTCTTTTCTTTGGGAAGGTTGGAAATATCCTAGACAGCGACTTCAGTGAGGAAGAAGTGGATTTCACTGTAGATGCTCAGCTGGTCAATCCTTTCACTGAAGAAGACTTGGACTTAACGACAGCAATGATTGAGCCAACAGGAGTGACAGTGAAAAAAGCTGGACCTGGCCTTGCTGGGACTGGAGACCCAGAAGCTTATTTAGCCCTCTGCCCATTGTATGTGGCTTTGTACATACTGGATATGTTCCAGAGGAAGTGTTAAGTGCCTCCAATGGCCTTCTGTTGGAACAGTATAATATCTGAATTTTCTCCTCTGAACTACTCCGTACCAGCCATATCACAACTGCCTTTGTAATTTTCCTCAATTTCAAAATTATTTGATACGTTGTTGTAGGGAGGGGTGGTGCTCTTCAAAAATAACAACTCCAAAACCCATGCATTTAAGCATCACACTTTCCGCCAGTGGGTGTTCTATACACATTACAGGATCACTCATTCTCTTGTGGCCTTATTGTCTTTTACTCCATTTCTGGTCCTTGCTAGAATTCCACAAGAAACGTTTTAAAAGTTCATATGTTTATTCATCAATAATGAGAAGGAACATTTCTTAAATTCAGCTCCACTATTGATTTCTATGCATATTTTGGAAACAGTTTTTGAATCACCAAGGGACATGGCTTTTTCAGATGTGTTTGTAACAACAGAAATGACTCTTGATTCTCTTTTTGTCATGGATTCCCATATATGCAGTTATAGTAACAGTGAGGATCTGGAACTGATATGATTTTGGGTTATGGTATCTTAGCTGATTTTCTGTTATCTAATCATTGCATTTTAATCTGTTTCTAATGGTTTGCTGAGATCTGTGAACCTGCTTTGAAGACAGAAATATATATAGAAATAAATGTAAGGTATAGTCACTTTTTACACTGAGTTTAGGAAGATGGCAGAATGCTGCTGTGAATCCAACCCTGCCATGCTCAAAGAACAAGCTCACTCACAGAGTTCAGAATTGATCCAATAATTACATTCAGATGTATACTCAACAGCTTGAGGAACCAGAACCATTACAGTGGTACCTCGGCTCACGAATGCCTCATTCACGACCAAATCGGGTCGCGAACAGAAATTTCATAAAATTTTTGCGGCAGGTCGCAAGCTCTGCATTGGGTGACGATCGCGAGCATGCCCGCCTTCCCTGCACAGGTGTGATCGCGGTTGCGCTGGGTGGGGAGAGATGGCTGTGTTTATGCTGGGTGTGGGGAGATGGCCATGATTGCGCCCATGCCCACCTCCCACGCAGGGCACACCCGCACCCGCCTCCCATGCACACCCACGCACACCTCCCCCACAGCGCGCCCGCGATCGCGCCCATCTCCCCCCACCCCCTCCGCACGATCTCTGGGGGGGGGGTGGGAGATGGCCGCAATCTTTGTTCTTTGTCACTTTGCTTCAAATTTTTGTGAGTAAAAAAAAAAGTTGCAGAACAGATTAACCTCATTTACATTGACCCTTATGGGGAAATTTGACTTGGCTCACAACCAATTTGGATCATGACCAGAGTCCTGGAATGGATTAAGTTTGTGAGCCAAGGTACCACTGTATTACTGATGGAAAATACGGAAAATAATGCCAATGCATATGCAGAAAGTCAAATGTGCCTCTTGCCCTCACATTCTTAAGAGCAGGGTTTCATATGGCCTCTACTTTGGGGTAGGGCTGGGAGAAATCACTACTTACATTTAAGTACCATCCCAGGTCTTGCCCTGCAACCCCTTCTGAGTTCTAACAAGGGTTTTCTTTCTAAACAACTGCTTGTGTTGGGTCAGTAAATGAAAGCAGGTTCAATCCACTCACCACCTGCCTCTTCCTACACCTCACAGGCCCCCTCGCACTCTCCTCCTCTCTCCTTTGCCTCTCAACTTTGGCAAGGTCCCCACTCCCTACAATTGGAGAGAATCAAGCCACCAGACTACACACCTTCTCTGGCCTTGCCGTCCAGTCTGGTCTAGTAACTCTGCTCCATGGATGCTGGATGCTGTCCTATGCTGCTTGCCTGCCAGGGACCCCAGAGATGGAAGTGTAGAACTGCTGGATTCTTTCTTTGCCTCCCAAGGAAGGACTCCAACAAGGTTTCTCAAATGCAGAAGGTCTGCCATAACAAAGCAAGATTTATGTGACTTGCAAAAAGTGACAGCGAATTGATCAGGAAAGTCAAAAAAGAGGCACTAAAAGTCCTGTATACTGACAGAAGTTGGCGAAAGAGAACCCTCACCATTCTTCATACAAGTGAATGCAAATATTGCATTGATACTGAAATCTAAGAGTTAGGTGGGCCTAGGAGGGCTGGATTAATGCCATACTACTTAAGGCTTTTCTACGCGAGACATTTATTGTGTGTCCATCATTCCCTATTCATGCTTATCTTAGATGCTACCATGACCCTCCAGTTTAATTTCTGTGTCTAATGAGCACTTTCTGTGCCTTTTTAGAGAAAGGAAAAACTAGTGATTTCCTGTGAAAGATAGAGCAAATTGTTTCCACGTGTGTATTTGCCAGTATTCTGCTGTACCACATTGCTATCTAGAGGTTATATTGTGAAAAAGCAGGAAAGGAAATCCTCTTGCATAGTACTTGGATCTCATTTCTACAAGAAAACCTAAAACATACAATGAAATAACAGCCTCATGTAGAAGAGCATTTAAGGGCCTGACTGGACTTTGGAGCCATCCAGGAAACCTACTTTAAAAAGCAGAAAGAGGGTGTGAATCCAGTCCAAACAATGCAGACTCTTTCGTTCTCCCCTTTCTTGGGGTCTGCACTCTTACACCGTGTGTTTCTTATTATTTGAAAATATCACTGTACCACGCACCCTATTCCTGTGCGGAGGGTATTTCAGAGTGTAAGCACCACCATGGGACAGCTGGCGCTTTTCCTGGTTGTTGCCCAGTGGATACCTGTGGACTGCAGCATAACCAAGAGAGCTCATGACAATGTTCACAATGATGGAGGAGATCTGTTCCTAGGACTTCTTACTTTGTGATTCTTTAGCGATTTGACCCATTTAGGGTTGCCTGCATGTTTGGAAGATCAAAGCTGGACTATGGACTGGGGGCAATTTGCCCAACCCTACCCTGGCCTCCTTTCCAGACAGTGGCCAGCCAGTTGCCCTCAGGACCCCTCAAGCAGCCTATTAAGTGATAAGTATTAAGCTGTGGCTGTACCTGTCTCTGATACCAAAGGTAGCACCTAGCCATCCAGGCTGCTAGCCCCATGTTCTCTTTGGCTGTAGCCTCGCTTTGGAAGATTTCTCAATTGTATGCTGCAACCAAGAGCGGGGCAAAGCTGGCCCTTCATGCTGCAACACGTGCGGGTTTTAGTATTGCTGAGATGCCAGGGCGGGATTGGTTCGGCTCTGGATCAGAGAATCCTGAAATCGAAGGACCAGGAGTCAAACCAAGCAGCGCAGCGTCGCCGCCGCCCGGTCTACTCCAGGCACTGGCGGAGGGCGCGCCTGTTCTTACCGCGAGGACTCCAAGCGAGGGATGTATCCAGGCGTGCCGACCTGGAGGAGGAAGAAATAACTGCAATAGTCAGCTGCTGCGAAGGAAAACGAAATCGAAATAGAGAAGTTTCCCTTCTTTCGTAACCGGAAGTTTGGCGAAATGCAACTGTAGGGTGGAAAACGAATACATCTAAAAGGCCCCGTTGCTTGAAACAGAGGAATCTGACAGAAAATCAGAAGAGGTAAGATGCATTAAGGGCTCGCAGGGGGACAGAGGTGGAGCGGCTGGCAGAGACGTTTGGTTGCCCAGTCACTCTCGTCTTGGTGATCCTCAGGCTCGGAATCTCCGCCTTTGCAGCTTCCAGCAGCCTGAGCAAAAGCAAGCGGCAGGAAAAGTTTTCCTGCAACGTGCGACTCTAGTGGGTACTGTTCTCTGACCGACGGAAAGTTTTTATTCAAACAGGCTGGTGAAGGGGGAGGGGGCATCTCAAGATATTAAACGCAAAACTCGTGTTTGCAACACCGCCGTTGTTAACCTGAGGTATAATGGGCGTTTTCATATTCAGAATAGCACGTGGGAACAAATTGTCAGATTCGGTGCAGTGAATGGAGATGCTGGTGTGCCGGCAACTCTGCAATCTTATGAATGTTTGGACTGAAAAAACAAGCCCATTAGCTCCCAGCCTTATCGGTTGGGGAATCCTGAAAAGGTGTAAAATGTATTTCTGCCTGAACATCCATTGGTTCCACTCTAAATCTCAGGCCCTAAACAGACATGGCTTTAAATCTGTGCCTAGAAATTTTGCCTTTCCCCATTTTTATATAAAAAAATTAAAGAATAGAAAGGGGAGGGGCAGGATAAAAATGCTGCATTTCTTCCCCCCACATCTTACCTCCTCCGAGTATAGGGGTGTGGTGTTTATTTTTCATCCTGATAGCGCAAATGTACAATATCCCTCACATTCTCCTCCATTTCCCTTTACTCCCCTCATCTTGTTTTATTTATTCATTCATTCAATGTATATACTGCCCCATTAGCCATCGGCTCTTTGGGTGGCTTACAACACATCTTGACCTGACACCCTCAGTAATTGGTGGCCTGATTGCCCTCAATTTTCCATGGGCCTGTCAGGCTGTTTGGAGTCTTCTGTATAAATAATCATTTGAATCTTAATTTATGAATGAATGTACCTCTGTAGATGTAAGGACTACATGTTGAGAGGGCAGTTCACTTTGAAATTGAAAGGCACAGCACTGCCCAAGTTCAGGAAAAAGAAATGCACCAGATGGTGACCTCCAGAGGTTTTGGATTACTGCTCCCTTGACAAGTGGCCATGCTGGCCTGGTCTTATGGAAATTGCAGTCCCAAATATCTGGAAAACATCAGGTGGAAGAAAGGGCAGTGGGTGATTTCACATCCTTTCATGACTGGGAAGAAAGATCCTTTGAAAAGAGGCCTTCATTAGCAGAGTCCACAATTCCTTACAACTTGTGATTTTGCTTTTCTTCTTTGTTGTCTCTCCCTCTTAGGACAAACTAGAAGCTTTGCATCTGCACCCAGAATGTCATTCTATAAGGCAACGAAATCTCTGGCAGAGCAACTGGACCCAAAAGGAGAACTCATTGCAGTAGACAGTATTGTAGACCAAAATAATTTTAGGCCTCTTTGCCTGGTGCACAGCAGGAGTAATAATCCGTGGTGGAAGAAACACCGGTTCTATAAAACCGGATACAAGCTATGTGATGTGCTCTCAGTAGAAGACCATGCTGCACAAATGGGTAACTTCAAGATTTAATCTCTTTCAAACATTGGGTTAGAATCAGATCCAGGATAATCTTAGATGGAGGGTTCTTAATGAGAAGTACAGCTGCCCCCACTTTGCTTCTTTAAGAAAGCAAACAGGAAAAGCAGTGAGAAAACACAGTATGTTTGACTGGAAGATGGCATCAGACCCCCTTAAGCTTCTGTGAATGATGGTGTCCATAAAGTACCCTCATTTGGGAGCATCCTTAAGTATGTGTACAGCAGACCTATTGAAATCAATGGGATTGCGTTAGTTGTTGCTAGCTGAAATCCCACTGCTTTCAATTGGTCTTCTCTAAGTATGACTAAGACTGGCTCTAGAATGTTATTTACAAGGCTGTATGTATGCCAAATATGAGATGGGTTGAATCCATAAAGAAAGCCACAGCCTTGAATTTAAAAGAGCTGAGGGGACCTGTCTTGGACAGACCATTTTGGGGGGCTTGCATTCATAGGGTTGCCATAAGTCAAAGGCAACAACAAAAGTTCCTTTCCTAATTATGTCTAACATAGAATTTGCCTGTTTCATAGCAGCTACACACTGGGCAACATTTTCACGCCAACATCCACCACAATTCTATAATCTCTTTCTTGGTTCGTTGGTGTGGGTCATAGGCCTGCTCTGGAGGGAATTTAAGACATGGATCCTGACTTGGAGGGAGAAGTTGGAAATCTGTCCTGTCTGAGGGTAACCAGAAGCTTGACAATTCAGTTCTGCCAGGCCTTCCACTGCTTGCAGAGCAGGAAGATGGGTGAAGTGCTAGACACTGTCATGGCCAGTCCCCCTCAGCTGGAGGAGCTGACTTTGATGGAGGCCCCTGGTTATCAGTCTGCATACCAGGGCAGCAGAAGGAGAGGAGACCTCTCTCTGTGTTTTGGAGATGCCTCCTTTGGTCTATTGTGGACAGAGGAGGGCAGAGCAGAGCACTCATTTGGGCATAGTCTCTGGTTGATGAGCAGGGTTCCCACTGAGGACCAAATGTTGGATCGTGATCCTTAGAAGCCATGTACAAACCTGTGTCATTTCCAGCAGCCCTTTCAAGAGACACCACACCACAAATCTGGAAAGCTTCCTGTCTTTTGTGGAGTAGAAGCATTCCAGGAGTTTGGGCAAATCCATACAGGAGAAAGCTCTCAACCTTGATGACTCTATACTCCCTCTGGTATCAAATGCAGTATGTCTGCGGACACCAGTTGCTGGGGAACTTGGACAGGGAGGTGCTGTTGCATTCAGAGCCTGCTGATGGGATCCTACGGACAGCTGGTTTGCCACTGCGTGAACTGAATACTGGACTCACTGAATCGTTCATCTGATCCAGCATGGCTTTTCTTATGATCTGATGCTAAGCTGGAGAGGGGAATTTTTGCACTATAGCTCTTCCTGCAATTAAAACATCTCCAGGAAGAACTGAGCAGGAAACCTTGTTACATATACACACTAAATAAGACTAAACAGACTTTCCATTTTTACAGCACTTGTGTAATTCTGTAATTGCATTCAATTACAGAACAAAAACAAAGAACACACATCTCTAGTGCATTCGATGTGCATGGAAGAAGGCACATAGCTTCCTACTATTCCAAGGTCACTGAAAAAGATGTAAGGCTAGAAGTCCAACTTGGGGATCTCCTGTAAGCTATTTTCTTGTGTTAATTATCAGACCCATGGAGCTGATTTGAAAATTGGGATGGGGCACTCTCCTCATCTTAGCGCAGAGTATAAGGGACACAAAATGGTTCTGCAGCAGGAAATACTGTGCAAAAGAGAAATAAGCCACATTTCCCACCTTACCCAGGAGACAACTCCCATTGTGCCTCAGTGACATCTTTTCCTGACTACACTTGTAAAGAAATTGTGCTGCTCTTCTGCTCGTTCCCTAAACAGATTTTCAGAAATAAGGGGAGTGGGGGAGGGAAACATGGGAGGGTTAAAAGTGATGAAGTCTGGAACCTTTGAAAATTGAGTGAAGAAAAAGTAATCATTGTACATTTAATAGGGATAGGTTTTGTGTTCCTAAATGGGGCTTTATTATCTGTGGATGCAACCTTTTCTCAGGTACCTATTCTGCATACATGAAGTTTGACATTTCATTCAAACCTTGAAATATGGCCTTACGACACTAGTAAATGCCATACCACTGCATAAAAATAGAACCTAACATATTCAGTTGGTTGTATCTCTTGGTGGCATTGCTGTTGGGAAAGGTACAGTGGTACCTCGGCTCCGAACACCTCAGTTCACGACCAAATCGGGTTGCAAACAAAAATTTCATAAAAATTTTGACTCAGGTCGCAAACTCCGCATTGGATGGCAACCATGATCGCAGCCATCTCCCCAATCCCCCCCCCCGAGGGGGGGATGGCCACGATTGTGCTGGGGCAGCAGGGAGATGGTTGAGAACGTGCCCATCTTTCCTGCACGAGCGCACCCGTCTTTCCTGCATGAGCACAACCACGATCTCGGCCATCTTTCCCCCCAGCACGATCTGCCCACCCCTCACCCCCAGTGTGCCCGCATTCACGCCCACCTCTCCCCTCCCCACAGCGCACTGGGATGATGGCCATGTGCAGGGATGACAGGTACGATCACTGTCATGCTGTGGGGGGGGGGGGGGAGATGGCCACGCTCATGCTTGGGATGGGGGAGATGGCTGTGATCTTTATTGCTCTTTTGTCACTTTGCTTCACATTTTTCTGATTAAAAAAATAGTTACAGAATGGATTGACCTTATTTACATTGAACCTTATGGGGAAATTTAACTTGGCTCATGACCAATTTGGATCACGGCCAGAGTCCTGGAATGGATTTAGTTCGTGAGCCAAGGTACCACTGTACTTCCTGCAGATCAGAATATTCTATTCCATATTTCCATCCATTTTCTCCCTATTCACACCTTATCCCTTTCTGTTCTAAAGGGTCCCCCAACCCTCAGAAGCAGCTTTTAAAGTGAATGCAGGCCTTAATGAGTTGGGGGACTGGCAAAAATTGACCTATGGAGTGAAGACAAAGCCTCCATTGGACACAAGCCAGGATCAGTAATATAATTGGGGACCAATGGGCAAAAAACGGGTATTCCATACCTACATTGTTAAGGCATATTGTCTGCTTGCAGTGCTCCTACTTGGCCATGCTGCTCTTTTTCTTCATCTTTCATAACTGCAGATGTTCTTGACTTTTGTGCCCAGATGTCCAGGATTCAACCTCAATTCACATTGTGAACCAAGTGGATGGAACATTGGAGGGGGATATTGGTGGACAAGTTGAATCAGCTGCAGTAGAAGTGAAAGGTGCTGCCAGCCAGTCCCACGAAAGATCTGTGAAGGTGAAAAAGATATATGTTTCCGCTGAAGTCCTTGATTCTATAATAAGGAAAGGGTAAGTCTGGAGAAACATAATGTTACAGTAGTTCCCCGAAATTCGTGGGGGTTGTGTTCCTAGAATACCCGCGAATTGTGAAAAACCGTGAATTTTGAATGTGGTAAAGGTCCATTGCCAGAAGCCTTAGAAAAGGGGTCCTCAAACCTTTTGAACAGGGTGCCAGTTGAAAGGTGACAGTGACGGGCGCCGGCCGCCAAGGCGGTGCAGGCGAGGGGCGTGGGCTGGGCTGGGCCGGGCCGGGAGACGGGCACGCAGGCAGCGAGGCAGGGGCGGGTACACACAGAGATCGTTTTTTCCAAGTGAGTCTAAACCAATCTCGCAAGGAGATCGGTTTGGACTCGCTCGGAGAAAACGATCTCCTTGTGAGCAAGTCACCACATGGCGAGAAAAATTCAGCAAAAGACTGAGGCCACGAATGCTGAACCGTGACTTCACGGGGGTATACTGCATAGATACTGAATTTGTAAACTTAACCAAGCTTAAGAACTCCCTTTAGCACTTTCTTTCATATCTACTTTGACTCCAACATCAACCAGAGTTACTGCGGTGTTCCAACAAAAAAAGCCCCTTTATCTACCTTTTCCTACCATTTATCTGTACAGGTCAGAGAATGTAGTTCAGAAGTGCCACGTGCTAATGTAGTATGAACTACAAAATAGAAGGGAAGCCATGTTGCGGCTAAGCAGGTCTGGGACTGGACTGAGCTTAGTGGGGAGACCACCTGGGAACTGCAAGTAGCCACCTTGAGTTCCACAATAGGAGAAAGGTGGGGTATAAATTAAATAAACTGTGAGACTGAAGAGACATTATAGATGACTTGGAAGATCTGCAGGTATGTTTTATAGGCCTCACTTTTCTGCAACTTGTTGTGCTTGCCACAGTTGTTAGAGTGTTGAACTAGAACTCAGGAGATCCAGGTTCTAGTCCCCCACTTGGCCATGAATCTCACTTTGGGTCAGTTACTGACCGTCAGCCTTACCTAACTCACTAGGTTGTTGTGAAGAGACAAAGAAGAAAGGGAAGATCATGTGAGCCACTTGGGTTCCTTTTTCAGAATGAAAAGGGTGGGATACAAACATAAATAAATAAATACTGGATAATGGAAGTATATCTCCTACTTTAGGAAAATCAGAATGGGCCATGAGTTAATTAAGCAATCAAAGGAGTTTCAAAGGAACCTGCATGTGATCACTGAAGCAATAGAAGTTGTGGAAGAGACACAGTTTGATGAATCCAGCAAAGCTGAAGGTGGCCTCTTTTACGAAGCCTGGATCAAGATGAGGGTGAAGGTCAGATCTCCTGAAATAGGAGGAAAGAAACACAACATCTGCTTTCACATACATTTTGTTCATGTCATTGATCTAAGTGTTCTTTTCATATTCTAGGGTACCAGAGGCACTAAGAAAGCCATTCTCATCCCCAAAAACTGCATCCTGGCATTCACAGTTAAGCAACTGCGAATCCAAGGCAATTTAGCAGGTAATATAGTCATTTATGTGAGAACAGTACTAGTGTGATCAGATAGCTTGCTTTGTTGAGGATTTTTAGAATCTCGGTCCCACCAAACTATGAGTAATTCCATCTGCCATGTGGTTGGTGACACCTGAAAAGGGGTGCTAGATTACATGGAAAATTGGGCTGATTCAGCAGGGCTCTGCTTATGCACTGGCAGGATCTGGGAGAGTTGCCAAGGAGGATGGGTATGCCTTCATTTACTTTACTGCTGTACCACCTAATGGCCAAAGCTCTCTGGGCCGCTCATATCAGTTGGTGCAGCAGAGACCACAGTTGACTTGAGGCTTCCTGTCTCATTAGAGAGCTATCCAAGGCATGGCAGAGACCCTTCCTGATATGCTGAAAACATGCGGTTGATGCTGTGGAACACTTGATATTGTTGGACTGTGCCTGCTATCACCTTCAGACAGAATGGCAGTGGATGGTTAAGGCCCCATTTGGACTCTTTTCTCCAGCCCAGAGATTGGTAACCATCCTCCTTTTAGGAAAAGCCATGCTGGGGCATACAAGAGCCCATCTATTCTGTCCAGCATTCTGTTGACACGATGGCCAACCAGCTGCCCACAGGATCCCGTACCTTCCCACTCAGCTTCTACAGCACCTGGTGTGCAGGGATGTACTTCCAGGTAGCATATATCCGTCAGGACTAATAGTCATTGATAGCCAATTACTCCAATAGGATCCTCTTCAGAAAGGTTGTATCATGTATCACTATGGTCTCACTCAACCTACTAGAATACTGCAGAATCCAGAGATGGTTTCAGTGAAATATAGGTGACAGGTGGCCAATTTTAAATTGGCAAATGTCGGCTTAGGTCCAAGCTCAAGGAACTTCAGAGACAGGAAGTTTCCCACCCACTCTGTCCTTTGCAGCCACTCACACTGCCCACAAAGGCACATGGATAGTTTGAGGTACCCTTATAAACAGTGTGGGATGGGATGTAGGGAGCTGTTTGGGAATAGGGTAATTGCCCAAAATAAGCTAGGATGCTAAGAAAGCACACAGAGGGAAAGATTTGTCATTCCCCCCACCCCTGCAGGCCCCTCGCAAGGACTAAAATTTTTCGCAATGCAGCCATTATGCAGGCCTACTCAGATGTAAGCTCCATTAACTTCCATGGAACTTTAGATGGCACTCCTTTGTCCTTTCCAAATTTAGACTTCCTTGGGAAAACCTTCTCCAAACAAGTTCAAAAATGTGAATTTTCCATTGATTTCCCATTATTATTGATCCCCTTTGTGCAAACTATTGCCTTCATTCTTTTTCTCCCAAGGTGTTTATCTCTACTCAAATAAGAAAACAAGAACTTTTGGTAAGCCTATTTCATGTGCTACTTATGGATATTACATTAGATAGATAGTGATAGACAGTTTAATTTTTTTGCCCACAACATACTACATTTTCTCCTCTGGGTGAAGTTTGAAAGACAGCACAACAATTCATCTGGTTTTTTCACTTGATTCAGTTTGAACAAGGGATAGCTGACATAAGCCACAGAAACCCAATTGGCAAAGCATTACCAAGACATCCTCCAACTTGTACATTTTAAGCCTTTTATAGAGGGTCCTGTTGCTCCCAGCTGCTCTGCACGATCTCACTAGCCCTAATCTTGCAAGCACCTACAGGTGCGATGCTAATCCTACAAGTTCTTGCAAGGTAAAGGAAGCTGCCTTCTCTCTCAGCCACATTAGGGGAAGTTGTGTCACTTTGCAGATCCGCCAGATAGAGGAGAGTATAGAGGGATTTCTAATCTCAAATGAGAAATTCTAACCATTGAGATTTGCATCATTGTCAGATGCTGCAATGCTATTTGTAAGTGGATGCGCATGGCTATGTTGTTTGTATGAACACACACATCCTTGGAAATGGTGCTACCAATCATTATGCTCACCGCAGATAAAGTAGTATCTGGATTCTCCTACCAAAGTCATTAATACGTAACTTTTGAATTTCCTTCAGAAAGCTTTGGGCTTTCAGTCTTCACAAATCCTACACAATAGATGCTTTAGCTCTCTGCACTGTGAGAGCTATACAGTGGGCTTGCTTGCACCTCACACTAGCTGAGAGACAATAAACCTCGGTTGGCTCACCCTAGGTCAGTGGTGGCTAACCTATGGCATGTGTGCCGCAGAGGGCACGCAGAGCCCTCTCTGTCGGCACATGAGCCAAGTCGCCCCAGCTTCGCCCCAGCAGCCGAGCATTGGATAACAGCACACACAGGGGCCATTTGCATGCTCGGAAAGGAGTAGCAATGCCAGGCGATGACATCACGAGCCGTGACTCATTAGCTGTGACTCGCCCGAGCTTTCACATGGCCAGTCAGTGTGCTGCCAAGGAGACAGAGAGACAGAGAGAGAGAGAGATTTGCTTGGAGTGGCTGTGAGTTTTAATGCATTTCTTTTTATTAACACAAGATTTTAGCTTTGAATTTTCCTATGAAAAATTGAAATTTAGTATCTAAGATTTAGCAAAGAGATGTTCTAATTAATGTTGTGCTGCCCCCCTGGCATATTTGAATCTGTAGAATCATATTCAGGTTTTATTGTAGTGTTGGCACTTTGTGATAAATAAGTGGCTTTGGGGTTGCAGTTTGGGCACTCGATCTCAAAGTTTCGCCATCACTGCCCTAGGTTGTTGGTGGGTATCTCACAGGACTTCATAGGAAGACCAGGTTGCTTCCTCCCTCCCTGCCACTTCTTTTCCACGTTAAGCTATTTGTGAGGAGGGAAGATCATGAAAGCCAGCTGCCAAGTCGATGTTGCGATCCCCATTTTGCGATCCCCATTTTTAGCTGTGGGCAAGGCAGTGCCTTCAAATTGCCCCAGTGGCACCTTGGAGGTGCTGCCCATGATTGCCTTTCTCTGTTTTAGCATTGTGGCTCCAAGCACATTTATTTCTCATCTTTAGTAGTTGCACAATGAGGCAATATCCTGGCAAGTGAGGCAATATCCTGGGAAGAGCCCGCTACCAAGGCACTTCCCCCTTTGGTTACTTTGCCAACTCGCCAGAAGACAAACTGTCTAGAGAAACCAAAGGTACAAGCTATCTTTTCACAGGAAAAGTGGGTGTCCTGTGACCGTCACCCCCTTCCATGAAAGATCCACATCTTCTCCCATACATCACGCACATATAGTCCCCATTCTGATGTACATTTTGCACTTTGTCCCAAACTTTTAAGTGCTGCAAGAAGTGCAAAAGTGCACACCACCCTTTTCTAGAAAAAAGAGCTCTCTGACAGCTAGCTGTCAAAACTCTGAGTCCCTTTAAAAAGGGAAATGGTGCCTTTTGATTGGGATGTATGACTATGTAAAAGCACTTTTCGGGAGTGGGGTGCAAAACCATTTAAAAATTGTTTGCTCACACCATTGCTCCTTCAAGATGCTGTTGGGGACCTTTAAAGGGGTTGCCTATAGCTGTCGAAAGGAAGATTGCAAAAGTTGGCTTGGTAGCTGGCCTCTGCAAACTCCCAACAATTAGTTTAAAGAACAGAAAAACAGCACGGTGAGCACTAAAATTGTAGGAAGGTTGTTTACAGAAATACAAAATATAGGAAGGCTGCAATCCTTTCCACATGCACTTGGGCGTTAGGATTGTACTGCAGTTCCTGTCAAACAGCAATATATATTAATTGCACACAGGGTGGATTAGGGCAGCTCATAACCAGAAGCATACATCTGAATAACTGGGAAAGCCCAGCGCTCTTCAGTCTGATAACGGGGCAGCTGAAGTAAGGCTTCCTGAGGTCACTTCTATAGCGATTCTGCTTCGTTGTGGGAGAAGAGCCAAATGAAATGACACCTGAATACTAACACTTCACATTCTTTCTCTCTCCCCTGCCCCCAATTCTACTTTTCCCTGTACCTTTCCAAAGATGGACTTCAGGCTGATACAGGTAAAAAGGAAAAAAAAACCTTTTGTGCCTTCTTCATATCCAGTTGCTTTTTACACCAGGCTTATCAGCTAAGGACATTCCTAATAGTTTAATGGCTTTCTAAAGAAGACCCAGGTGGTCACTTTTATAAGTTAAATGTAGCATGATTACACCATCGTGGCCCACACTGAGCCCTCTGGGAAGGCATCTTTTCTCCTGCCTGCACACCTGCCACATGATTGGGTTTGTGAGCACAGGTTACTGCATTATCTATGGCCCATCAGCACTCTTGCTCAGCAGCAGGCCAGAGAGTGCCACACAGATGCTGTTTTGGGCAACTGTCAGATCATCCCCCCTCTGCCTGTTTCCTGCCCTAAAGGGTTCTTAGGAGCAGGAGCAAGTGACCAACTGTTTGAAGCTGGGACACAAGTACCACTCTGTTGATTCCCCTGCCACTCCTTCTGTGTGAGTGGGGGAGGGGGGAATAGATTTCCTCAGCACTATGCAGCTGATTTCCCTCCTGTTGCCTGAGCATGGATCAGGTCCTCTCTGAAGCAGTGGGGCGGGGGCTGGTCAGCTTCCAGTCCTCTTTGCTGTCGTCCAGGACATAGGCCTGTTTGGGCCAGCAGAGACTGCTTGACACCTACAGTGGCCTGACCTCCACCTTCAGCCTCGTGCCTCCCTGCAGTGTCTCCTGGGATACCCCCTGGAGACCTGAGAGAGGACGAGATGGCAGGAGGTGGGAGAGCTACCACCATGATCCTGTTTGTCCGCCAGGCACAGGTTAGCTTGCCATGCTGTCTGAACCCAGCTGCATGGTTTGTCAGCCCCAGGATTCTAATCACCATGGCTTGGTGTAAACCCAGTCACTGCCATATGCCCTCTTGTGGGACAAGCCAAACTTCTTCCTGCCTTTCAAATGCCTTCCACAGATACATCCTGGTGATTTGACTGCTGATCTGAATCTCTCTCTCTTGCTCCTTTGACCAATCCTCAGGATGTCTATTTACCTTTTTAATTTTTTCAAGCATCAGTTGAATGTTCTCGGATTGCAAGAATGAAGAGAGCTGGAATAAAGCAGGCAGAAGGGCACTCAGGTTATAGAAAAGGTAAGTAGATTTCGTGACACATATGTCATTGTCAATTTTAAATCCTCAAGAGGTAAAAAACTTCAGTGTCTTTGCACTATGTAAAATCTCCTGTGTATTAATTTGATAGAGTGCTTTTCTTCCTAGTGTCCATGCTACATACTGGTAATATTTTATCTTGATACACTTGATGATCTGAATAGTTGCACAGAATAATATCACAATTCTAAGCCCTATGATTTGTCCAGTCATTAACTGGGTAGCAGTAACTAACTTTGACCTATTAATTTCCCCCTTTCTGGCCAGATGTCTGTGATGTTGAAAGTAGAAACCTGGAGGAAGAAGTTAAGCAGGGATATGCAGAATTCTCATTGTTATCTACAAATCTGCGTGGCAAGTTTCTAAAAGGTTTTTTGGGTATAATAAGAGACAGTGACCTCCTCCTACAGCTGGAGGACCAGGTAAGCATTTTTCTTTTGTGGACGCAGCCCATTTTCTTTTGCAGACACAGCCTCGCGGTTTCCAATGATATCTGCAGACACCTTCCTATGCATGTTGGAAGTCCTACAACACCCAGCATACCTGGGACCTGGAATACCCAGCATGCCCTGACAGCGATAGCTGGGAAATTCTGGAAGTTATAAGTCATTTTTTACTATCTAAACATTGGTTAATGCTGCTCCCTTAAGACTAAATAAGAGATCTTGGGGTTGCAGTGGTCAGTTCAATGAAAATGTTGACCGAAGCGTGTGGCTGCTATGAGAAATACAGACTCCTTATTAGACATAATTAGGAAAGGAACCGAGAATAAAACTGTCAATACCATACTGCCCTCATATGGTATGACGCTTAAAATACTGTGCATAGTTCTGGTCACAGTACCTAGGAAAAGGATATTATATAGTTGGAAAACTGCAGAAAAGCACAACTGAAATAATTGAGAAGGTGAAGCAACTCCCCTATGAGGAATTGTTACAATACCTGGGATTGTTTAGCTTAGGAAAAAAAGGTGAGTAAAGGGAGACATGAAAGAGGCATACAGAACTATGTTTGGTGTGGATAAAGTGGATAGGGAGACGTTCCTCTCCCTGCTTCATAATCCTAGAAGCTCAAGAAGGATTGGTAAGAGATTGAGGACAAATAAAAAGGAGGCCTTCTTCAGCTAGTGCATAGTCAAACTATGGAATTAACATCCATAAGATGTGGTGATGACCACGACTTTGGACAGCTTTAGAAGGGGATTGGAGAAATTCATGGAGGAGGGAGGAGGCTAGTAATCCATAGCACATATGGCTATGTGCTTCCCCCAGCAGCAGAGGTTTTATGCCTGTGGACACCAGTTCCTGGAGGACTTGGGTGGGAGGGTGCTGTTGCCCTCAGGTCCTGCTTGTGGATTTCCCATGGGCAGCTGGTTGACCACTCTGTGAACAGAGTGCTGGACTAGGTGGACCCTTGGGCTGATCCAGCAGGGCTTTACTTATGTTCTGAAGACATCCATTGTCGTATTGACTTGACGGACTTCTCCCATTGCTGTTTTCCACCATCAGTAATGTGCTTTATTTAATAACAGGGATGCAACATTTCTATCCTGCAGTTTCCTAAAGTTAAATCCTTATATGTCACAGAGCATCACAATGCTTCCTGCTGTGGTCCTGTAGCAATGACTATCTCTGTTCCTACTGCAAAAGCTGCCTCCTCACAGCCACAGCAACCCAATAATGCCATTCTTCTGACATTATGAGCCTTTTTTAGACTGGAAAGACACAAGCAGCAAGCAGCCATGCTGGTCTGACGACTCACAGTCTTGTCCTCTTCCTCAAAGCACGTGTGAACAATGTATGACTCTTCAGATGTTTTGGCCTATGATTCCCATCAGTGCTAGCTGACATAGCCAATGGTGAAGGATGAGGGGAATTATAGGCCAAAACATCTGGATGGCTGCAAGTTGCCCAACCTTGCTCTATAATATTAAAGACCTGCCATTTATAAATAAAAGTGTAGAAATTGTCCAAATCCTGCCTTTTGCCAGTATTTACAAATATTGTGGTGTTCTTGAAGCAAATGTTATCACCGTGAGAAGCCCTGCTTTCACATCTGTTTTGCCAAATACATGAAACTGATTGGCATTGATATCTTTCCCTTTAACTCTTAGCTGGAACAGGCTATTGACAAAAATGATCAATTGAAGCTGAAGGCTGGTAAGCCAGAGGTGCAAGGCCTGGTGGGGAACTTGCATGATTCCAATGGAGTTCTGATCACCAGCCTTGCTGAGACGGTCCTCTACTTCCTTCAGGCTTTAAATGGTAAGGATTATCTCCTTCAAAATGCAATGACTGCTGGAATGGAAATGAAGTATTTCATTAAACAAGCTCTTGGCCCATAAGCAGCTACAGGTAAAGCTAGAGAAAAGCTCATCGTTAAGGCAGAACTAAAGCTGGTTGCAATTTGTTCCTGCCTCTTGCGGATGGAGCCAATTGGTCATACCTTTAGGGATGTGAGGAACAATGCTATCTGCTTATTGCGTTGCAGCAGGGATACTCAGAGAGGAATCCAATGGCCTCCTGATATCATCAGGGATGGGGAAATAGAATTCTTTGCAGTTCCAGCTCCAAGTTCCTGCAATCTCAGAAATGGGTCTCCAAAGGCCAAGCCCCCACCCTGCCCCCCTTGAAGCCAGCAAGGAAACCACCAGTTGCCCTCTTGCCACCAAGACTGCAAACAGGCCTCAGAAGAAAATGAGGCATGCCTGAGATGCCAACAAATAACTAGCAATAAATGACAGAGGTTAATGCATTGTACTCTTCTTTGATATGCCAGTCAAGTGAGATTGTTATGATTACTGATAATTCTGGTCTTGCCACCTCTGCTTTGGCCATGAAAACCCAAAGAATGGAATCCTTTCCTCAAGCTGACTGTTTTCCTCACTTTCCCAGAATTGGCAGAGTTCCAGTTGATGCTCCTGGCAGAATCTGTAGAAAAAAAGATTGTGTCACAGCAACGGACACTGGTAAGACAGAGTTCCAGTCAAATACTTTTTCCCCCAGGGGACAGTGGCTAAAAAAAAGCAATGGGAACAAGTTAGAAATATATGCTTCCTGAAAGTGCATGCTGTTCAAGAAAGGGTAAATGACACAAAGCACATTTTCACAAATTTAAAAGCTGCAACCGCTTTAAGACTTGGCCCCACAAAGCAGTGCATGTGAATCTTTTCTGCACCTGTGCCTTTCTAAAATGTGTTAGGGTCACTAGCCAAGCTGAAGGATTCCATGTTTAAGGCCATAATCCTTTGCGTGCTTACTGGAAGACATTTCACATATCTCTAGGATGCCTGCCTTCTAATGTAAATGCATACAGTTGTGCTGCACATTATATGCTCTGGATATCATGACTGCATTTCAATTAGGCATGTAGTATCTCATAGAATGTTTATGTCAATTACTTGTCAGTGTACCCCATTATATATCTGATCACAGTCCAAAAAGTTTTGATTTTTCTTCTTTCTTTTTTGTAAAGGTCAAGAGCATCCTAGATAACGATTTTGGCAACAATGAAAAGAGTTTCCCTATAGATACCCAGCGTTTAACTGGAAAGGACCTGACTCTAACTGGAGCAATGATTGAATTGAGTGGAGTGACCATGAAAAAAGTTGAATCCAAGCTTGTTGGGACTGGAAAGCCCCTTGCTTCCAAAGCCCTCAGTGCCCTGTATGTGGCTCTGTATGGATTCAGTCTTCTCTGCCCATGAAAGGATAGCTTAGAAAGCTAATGAGTTAGTTTGGTTCTACAAAAGAAATAACTCATATATCATCCTGAACCTCTTGAATGAACAGCATGATATAAGGATGATTAAGACTATCCTGTTAATACTTGAGACCCATCAAATTTAATGAGATTGACTTCGGGTAGAATATATAGGATTGTGCTGCAAAATACATGTCTGACAAAAAATACAATTTCTGACTTTGGGCCACATTGCACTTTGTAGCTTCCTAAATCACATTTATGGCATGCCTTGATTCAGCAGTATGTAAAATGCTTGCTTGTTTTTAATTATATATGAACTTCACAGACATGCATCAATCTCTCACAGAGGGGTAGGCCCAATAATAAGCTATGGGTGGGATGATGGAGCTGAAGTCCAGCAGCCTCTGGAGGGGCACAAGCACCCACCCCAGACTAAACCAAGGCCACTCCCAACAACATTGATTATATTATGTGTACATATTTTGTAAGTTATAAGGCATATCAGAAATGCATGATTCTGTAGACATTTTCTCTTGTTGCAACATCTATAAAAAAATTTAACCATCCTGGTCTATATGCTTCCAACTTTTGTTAGAAAGCCTGCTTTGAAACATTTTACCCATTTCTTTTTCATCCCTACCATATGTTCTTAGATTTCTGACTGCATTCGGCTATGATAACACAGAATTCCTGATTCATTAACAATGAACAGCATGGCCATGTGTACGGCCTATTTGCTCCCCACTTTGCCCAGGTGTTTAAAACTAACAAGGATGGGGTAACATATTGAATCCAGAATCCTTATTTGTTGCTCCCAAACAGTAGGGCAGCAACAAACTAAAGTTTGACCACTGCACTCCTGGTTCACAGGAAGAAAGGAATCCTGCCTTACTTTTATCTGTAAATATAGCCAATATATCACAACCTTGACAAGAACTCCTTTTCAGGATTTGAACCTCTTCATTACATTTTCAGACATTGCTAATGACCTGTATATATTGATCAGTCAAATGTATGTTTGTAGCCAGTGGTGAGCTCCACTTATGAAGAAAGAAATTCAGACAATAGCTGAAGCAGAGATTAGAAATAGTTCTGTAAGTAATACAGCAAGCCACTGGTTGACAACACTGATTGGCTTGTCAGTATTTGGAACCACACAGATTAGATGAACTATCGACAAAATTCTAACAAAGATCAGATGATGATGGCAATAGTTGAACAGAAGCCACTAATTAAATAATGGAAATGGGAGCCGGGCTGGTAGGTTGCTTGGGCCTTAAATCAGATGGATAGAACAGTAAAGCAGGAATTTGGTACAGGGATAAAGAAAGATGGGCAGAAAGTTTCCTGATCCTCTTACCTTCTATATGCAATATTTCTGGTTTATAGATAATAAAAACTAATGGAGAAATTCCAGGTATTGATAAGGGTTTGTTTTTAACTGAAGCATTTTGTTGGCTTTTTAACCTTTTTGTTTCCGGATGTCATGCCCTTTCTATTATCTAGTGGGTGAATTTACATGACACAGCAATCCAGCCTGCAAATAAACTAAGCAGAGTAGGTGGTTCATGGAGCAACCCAAGTGTACCCTACAATTGGACATACTATGGGCTGCCCCCCACACCTCTTTTAGCAAGACTAAAAAGCTTTGTTTTGACTTATTGCATCAAAGAATAATTCCTGTGAAAAACCCTACTTAAACAAAATTTTGACAGTGCTGGCAAAAAAGAGAAAGGGGTTGTAGGTCTTATCTTTATGGAGTACCGAATGACTGGGGAAAATGTAGAAAAGGTGGCAAACACCAAGAACAGTCAGGGCAATACAACAAAACTATTAGGATCGTGCTAGAACAGAGATGTAGTCACTAAGATCCCTTTGTGGCTTTGCTTTTCCCTTGACAACTTGCCATTTGACAGCTGTAAGGTAAAAGCAAACTAACAAATCAACCTATTTGCAGCCTTGTTTTATCAGTGTCTCTGGATGTTTCCTCATACACTTTGCCAAAAACTCTTACCACTACTTTGTTAAGCAAAAGTTTGTATTCAGCTAGTCCAAAATACACAGTCCCCACCCCCAAAAAATGCACGGTCCAAAATTTGTGATTTGGCAACAGTAAGCCATCCCCTGCAAACATGGAACTGAAGGCAGTATAAGTCTTATTAGAAGGGATAAATTTGATTTAGTAAATAAATATTGCCCTGCTAATGCAAATAATTTCTATACACCCCATTTCAGGGGAGTGTGATAGTAGGGTTTATGACAAGCCAGATGCAGTGCAGTCCAGTGCTACTCCAAACATTATAGATTTGGGGGTAGGTGTTACAAGCCAGTGACTTATGATAACCTGGTAATACAGTCTAGTTAGTCTTTCAGGCTGGGGATGGGGCCAAGAGTCTAACTTTGCAAGACATAGCACATCTGTGCAACCAGTTTCCTTTTAGTCCCATCATAAAGCTGAGGGACAGCAGAACATGGATAGTTTGCTGCTCCTAATGTTACAGAGAATAGCATACACTAATTGCTAGGATGGGGGGGATAGGATGGGGGGAACTATGGTGGTAGCAGGGGCTTCCCACCGTGATTAAGGGTCATTTCCATTTCCCCTCCATTTTTTTGTATTTGAAAGTCCCCCTCCTCTCAGAGGTTGCAAGAAACTGGTAGAAGATAAGCATCAGAGCATGACTTTTGCACCAAGGAGGAAATAAGTTCCACACACATGCCTATGGTTGGCTTTTTCGACAGGTTGGCTCCGTTTCAAATGAATTCATTCAGTCTTTAGAAGTTGCAACAAGGCAAAATCATTATCCCATTTAGCTGGAATATTCAGCTACCTTGCTGGTTTTATTTTGCGGTCAAAGTGAAGAATATTGGACGTGGCTGTCAGAATGCAGACTTCAGGAGTTCAAAGCAAAGTCTATTAGATGCTGAAAAAGGTAGGAGAGAGTGAGGTAGAAGCAGTCCAAGAGAAAGCCTCCCACAGTAGCGAAGACAATTCCAAACCCAAATCCCGGGCCTGTGCGAGCGCCCTCAGGCAGGCACTTCCCTCTCGAGCATCTCTCTCCAACAACGTACGCCGAAAAGCCTAAACCAGACCGGAAGACGTAGGCTATGGCACTGTCTACCCGCCTGTCTCTATGATGCTTCCTCCCTGAAAGGAGCGGGGATTCCTTTCATGGCTTCTCCGTACGCCCGTCCCTCGGCGATCGGCTAGGCGAGTCTGCCCCAGTTTTCCCGTCGTGCCCCGCGATTGGTGCTCTGTCACGGTGGTAGCCGGTGTGTGGAAGGTGGAAGCCATGAAGCAGGAAGGCGGCTCTCGGCGCCGCGCCGGCTCCGAAAAGGCCAAGCCCGCGCCCGCAGAACCTCCTCAGCCTCCCCCACCGCCCGCCGATGTGGAGATGCACGAGGAGGCGGCGGCGGCTGCGGCCGCGGCCGAGCCCGCTTCGGCGGAGAAGTCGCAGCGCGAACTCGACGCCGTCACCCTCGAAGGTGAGCAGGAAGGCGGCGGGGGCGGCGGGGGCGGGGGCGCGCGGCGGTGGAGAAGGGGCGTGGCCTGAGCCCCCTCGGCGACCTTCTGCGCGGATTAGGTAAGGGCGGGACTAGCTGGGGAAGGGAGCTTCGCGGGGTTTCCCTTTGGCCGGCCGAGCTGGTGGGCCCGGCTACGTGGAGGAGGCAGAAACAAGCCCAAAGGCCGGGTGGGGCTGCAAGGGGGCTGCTTCCGGCGCGGGTATAGCGCATTGAGGAGTGGGGTTCTCCAGTGGAGGGTGGAAGATGGGAGACAGTGTGGTTTCTTCCTTGGTTTGGGGCAAAGAAAATCCAGGCTCAGCCAGGGATCGTGGCGAGTGGTGCTGCGCACGATTTATAGTCACAGCGGCCAAATAAATGGCTGTACCACTGTTTCTTGCAGTGGGGTATGTAAAACACCTGAGAGTGTGCATTTGGAAAATTTAGCCAGTCGGTTTTCTCAGATGTGCAGACACACTGAAAATGCTATAGTTTCTTTTGGCAGTCCTAACATCCCAATGTGCACATTAACTGTGAGCTGTTGAAAAGACAAGTGGTTTTTGCCTGCCAACCTGTTTCTGCTGAAACAAGGAACCCAGAGGAGTGCCATCCCTGGGTTGTTTCTCATGATGTCCAAACCAGAGCTCTGCATTGACTGGGAAGAAACAACTCAGATTAGAACCTGTGGTTCATTCCCATTTGTCTTTTCGACAAATTGTGGTTTGTCAAATTAGGATTGTCGCACCATGCAAAATGTGTCTGTTTGTTGATTACCCATTTAACCATGAGTTCCATCCCTGAGTTATCTCCTCCTGAACAACATAGAATTCCAAGTTTGGATGTCACATTAAACAACCCAAAGATGAGTGTCCCTGGGTTGTTTTTCTCAACAGAAGCAGACAGACAGCCACACTTACTTTTGCATAGCTGTTGAATATCTCAATGTGTTAATCATGGATTGTTCTGATGTGTGAACCAGATAACATGATGTTGCATTATCCTGAGTAATCTTGGTAAGTCACTGACTTTTATTTAGGAAGTCAACTATGGATAAATATGGTTAGGAATAAACTTCCTTACAGTTTAACAACAGCACTGTGAGCTTCATGAAGAAAATACCAGGTTGAGCATTTAGAAAGTTTATAAAAATTAATTGATGACATCTTGCTCCAGATTTTGTCTTTCTGTGAGGATTGTGTAGCATGCTCTGTTAAGTTTTGGAATTCCTTTGGAGACCAGAAAGAGACCAGTCTTGCAGCGTTTTCAAAAACAAAGAAAATCTTATTTTGATTGCAAAATAATTGTCATTCGTTGACAGTTTTTTTAAAACATGGTATATATTTATACAGCCAATTTTATTCTGTTTCTTTAAGTACTTATGTTTTGTGTGTATGTTTGGATTTTCTTGAGCAGAATATATGTTTAAAAGTAACATGGACTGTAAGTAGGCATCAGAAATGTGTTATGAGTAGAGAAGGCTAGAGATAGAACCTGCTTCTTGGAAGAGAGTTGCCATGAATGTCATCAGATGTGCTGCCATACACCTTATGTAATCCAGATATTTCATTGCACCAGTGGAGCGCCAACTAAGCTGTGACCAGCAGAGATAGACTGGCTTCAAGTCTCGAATGGTCTTTTATTTTCCAATTAGGAGACCAGTGCTTTATCAATGAACCCTAAATTTTGAAGGCAAGGGTACATTCTTGGGAATTCTTACTTCTGTTGTAGACAACACAGAAATATCACAGAAAGCTGGGCAAATACGTTAAGGAGAAGACTGTTAATGTAAATTATGGTAAAGGATGGAAAGAGCTGGAATTCAGCTGAAGGTGCAGCTAGAGCTAAACCAGAAATGGACTACTAGGAGTAGCAGTGCAGAAGCAGATATTGTTAGTTTGGGTATTTGGAAGTGAACTGCAAATGAACCTATTGTTTAAGATCAAGTGTACTGCAGAAACAAACCTGTTTCTTGTGGCAAGGGATGTTGTCACAGCATTACCATGGCAACACTTCATCAGATGCATGTGGATACTAAAATGCCTACGATTGCATATGCAAGGTCTCA